CCTGTAATTCCAGCTACTCAGAGGCTGAGGCAGGAGAATTGCTTTAACCCTGGAGGCAGAGGTTGCAGCGAGCTGAGATCATGCTACTGTGTTCTAACCTGGGCAACAGCGCAAGACTTCATCTCAAAAAATAAAAAATACAGGCTCATGCCTGTAATGCCAGCACTTTGGGAGCCTGAGGCAGGGAGATCACAAGATCAGGAGTTTGAGACCAGCCTGACCAACATGGTAAAACCCCATCTCTACTAAAATTACAAAAAAAATTAGCCGGGCATGGTGGCGCACACCTGTAATCCCAGCTACTCAGGAGGCTGAAGCAGGAGAATCGCTTGAACCTGGGAGGCGGAGGTTGGAGTGAACTGAGATTGCGCCACCGACCACACTCCAGCCTGGGCAACAGAGCGAGACTCCGCCTCAAACAAAAACAAGAACAAACATAAAGTTGCCACAGAAAAGGGACCAAGTTTAAAAAAGGGTTATAAATGTAATGAGACTTGCATAGTTAAAAATAAAAAGGGATTTTTTTTTTTTTTTTTTGAGACGGAGTCTCCCTCTGTCGTCAGGCTGGAATGCAGTGGTGCGATCTCAGCTCACCGCAACCTCCGCCTCCTGGGTTCAAGCAATTTTCCTGCCTCACCCTCCCAAGTAGCTGGGACTATAGGTGCATGCTACCATGCTCAGCTAATTTTTGTATTTTTAATAGAGATGAGGTTTCACCATGTTAGCCAGGATGGTCTTGATTGCTTGACCTCATGATCTGCCTGCCTTGGCCTCCCAAAGTTGCTGGGATTACAAATGTTAGCCACCGATCCGGGCCCCCGAAAAAAAAGGGATTTTAAGAAAAGCTCTCTAGGCTGGGTGTGGTTCCTCATGCCTATAATCCCAGCATTTAGGGAGGCTGAGGCGGGTGGATTGCAAGAGCTCAGGAGTTCGAGACCAGCCTAGGCAAGGTGGCGAAACCCCGTCTCTACTAAAAAAAATTAGCTGGTCATGGCAGGCGCCTGTAATCCCAGCTATTCGGGAGACTGAGGCAGGAGAATCGTTTGAACCTGGAAGGTGGAGGTTGCAGTGAGTTGAGATCACGCCACTGCACTCCAGCCAGGGTGACAGAGTGAACGACTGTCTCAAAAAAAAAAGAAAAACTTTGTAGCTCTGTGATGGGCAGTTCAGATAGTACATTGACCAGATTTACATGTTTTCAGCTGGAGAATGTGAGGTGAAGCCTTGAAACCCTAAAAGTGATACGGTAACTAGGGCAGGTCTCTCTCTACACAAAAGCGACTTAGTAAACAGTGAATTTCATACAGGTAAACCCTATTATACCCTCAGTTCTAACCATTGGCCTATCTCTTGCATTTTGTTCTAATGTAGAATTAGATTGCTACTTGACCATTTCAGGAACTCTGTTTAGATAAGTCATAATCAAATCTTGCTGGGCACGGTGGTTTATGCCTGTTATCCCAGCACTTTGGGAGACCAAGGCAGGTGGACCACGTGAAGTCAGGAGTTCAAGACCAGCCTGGCCAACATGGCGAGACTCGTATCTACTAAAAATACAAAAATTAGCCAGGCGTGGTGGCAGGTGCCTGTAATCCCAGCTACTCGGGAAGCTGAGGCAGGAGAATCACTTGAACCTGGGAGGCAGAGGTTGCAGTGAGCCAAGATTGCCACTGCATTCCAGCCTGGGTGACAGAGTAACTGTCTCAAAACAAAAAAACAAAACAAAACAAAACTCTAGATCATCTCTAGAACATTGCTACTCCCAAGTATGATTTGAGGAACAGCAGCCTCAGTATCACCAGGGAACTTGCTAGAAACAGTCTCAGCCTCACCACTACTCCCACTTAATCTATTAACAAGATTTCCCAGAGTGAGGCAGGCTCGGTGGCTCATTCCTATAATCCCAGCACTTTGGGAGGCTCAAGCGGGCAGATCACGAGGTCAAGAGATTAAGACCATCCTGGCCAACATGGTGAAACCCCGTCTCTACTAAAAATATAACTGGGCGTGCTGGTGTGCACCTGTAATCCCAGCTACTCTGGAGGCTGAGGCAGGAGAATTGCTTGAACCTGGGAGGTGGAGCTTGCAGTGAACCGAGATTGTGCCGCTGCACTCCAGCCTGGCAACAGAGCAAGACTCTGTCTCAAAAAAAACAAAAAAATTTCCCAATGTGTATCTTAAAGTTTGAGAAATGCTGATCAAAAAGATACTAATGACCAGGTGTGTAGAGGACATTTTCTTAAGCCCTTAAGTACAAATTTAAGAGTTAAGTGCTTCAGCCATTAAGGTTACTGGCTTGTTCATCTTTCCCACTGGAGTATAAATATTTAGTTTAGGGTTTAAAATTAGTTATGTAGCTTTTTGTGCTTGCCCATGTTTATACTACTATTTTTTTTTTGAGATGGAGTCTTGCTCTGTCACCAGGCTGGAGTGCAGTAGTGCAATCTCGGCTCACTGCAACCTCCGCCTCCCAGGTTCAAGAGATTCTCCTGTCTCAGCTTCCTGAATAGCTGGGACTCCAGGCAAGCACCATCAAAGCCCAGTTAATTTTTGTATTTTTAGTAGAGACAGGGTTTCACCATGTTGGTCAGGCTAGTTTCGATCTCAACCTCATGATCCACCCACCTCTGCCTCCCAAAGTGCTGGGATTACAGGCATGAGCCACCATGACCGGCCTATAGTACTGTCTTCTTATTCTCCTTTCTTGTGTGTGAAAAGTCAGCTCTTTTGGCTTTTCCATTATGATAGGGGAAACTTGAATTACACAGGGAACTCAACTGAAGAAGAACTGAAGTAGGTGGTGCTGGGTGAAGTGGGCCCAGAGAATGGTGTACACATCCCTCCCATACATATACCCAAACTTTTTTTTTTTTTTTTTTGAGACGGAGTCTTGCTCTGTCGCCCAGGCTGGAGTGCAGTGGCCGGATCTCAGCTCACTGCAAGCTCTGCCTCCCGGGTTTACACCATTCTCCTGCCTCAGCCTCCCTAGTAGCTGGGACTACAGGCGCCCGCCACCTCGCCCAGCTAGTTTTTTGTATTTTTTAGTAGAGACGGGGTTTCACCGGGTTAGCCAGGATGGTCTCGATCTCCTGACCTCATGATCCGCCCGCCTCGGCCTCCCAAAGTGCTGGGATTACAGGCTTGAGCCACCGCGCCCGGCCACTTCTACTTTTTTTATGTGATGGAGTTTCCCTCTTGTCGCCCAGGCTGGAATGCAATGGCATAATCTCAGCTCACTGCAACCTCCGCCTCCCAGGTTCAAGCGATTCTCCTGCATCAGCCTCCTGAGTAGCTGGGATTACAGGCATGCATCATTACGCCTGGCTAATTTTTGTATTTTTAGTAGAGATGGGTTTTCGCCATGTTGGCCAGGCTGGTTTTGAACTCTTGATCTTAAGTGATCCACCTGCCTTGGCCTCCCAAAGTGCTGGGATTATAGGTGTGAGCTACTGGGCCGGCCTCAACTTCTTTTTATCTTATTTATCAATTGGGGGGGGGGGGTTCTATATTTAGTTTGAAGAGATGAGGAAGATTTGAAAACCACTGGATCTACCAGGAATTTTTTTCTTCAAAAATATTTTCTGCTTTTATGATACTTGAATATCTAATAAAAGACAGTATTTAGCCAGTCACGGCAGCTCACGCCTGTAATCCTAACACTTTGGGAGGCTGAGGTGGGTGGACTACTGGAACCCTGGAGTTCAAGACTGGCCGAAGCAACATGGCAAAACAAGTCTTTACAAAAAATACAAAGACGGTGGTTTATGCCTGTAGTCCTAGCTACTCAGGAGGCTGAGATGGGAAGATCACCTATCTGGGAGTTCGAGGCTGCAATAAGCCATGATTGTGCCACTGCACTCCAGCCTGGGTGACCATCTGAGACCCTGTCTCAAAAAAAAAAAAAAAAAAAAAGACTACATTCACTGTATACATGGCCTTTTCCCCCTAACTAGATATGTACCTTCTTAAAGGCAAGGATTCTTCATAGTGCTTTGCCCATAATAGGCGCTGATATTCATTGGATGAATGTATATAGTGAAGAATTTTAGATCTGATTACCACAATTGGGACCATAAACATGTATAAACTCCTTGGGAGTCTGCTTTATATACTTTTTATCCCCCTAAATGTTTCATTAATGTTGCAGAGAGGCTTACTGGTTTCTGGAGGTGTCTTATTAAGTATTGAAATATGATTTTCTAAAATTTCCTTTATAATACAGGCAAAAGATAAGTAAACTGTAGACAAAGCTTTCATCTCTGTCAGCAGCTATACAGAGGAAGTAAACAGCTTAGCCCCTAAACAGGAGGAAGTTGTTCAACTACAGGCTTCTTAGTAGCAAGTTAAACCAGTTATATTTTGTAAAACTGAGCCTGAGTGGTAGGGAAGCTATCACTTTAATACTCTAGAGGCAGAATGCCACATAGGACTTTGGGTCACATACTTCTTTTCCAGGGTCTCCTCAAAATGCAGTTTCTATTTACAGTTGACTTTGGCCCCTCTTTACCCATGTCAAAATCAAGTAGTCTGAACATGGAAACAGGAACAGGGACTAAGGTTTGGTCAAGTGGCCCTCATTGTTCCAAGAGTAATTTAGGCTACATAAACTTGGAAAGTATAGGACCAGATTACCTTTTGTCTCTAAATTCTACTCTAAGTAGCTGGCACTGTATCTCTGACAGGGCACAGAAGTGGGCTCCTTACTATTCTGACCATCATCAAGTGGCCAACTCTTCAAATACACGGTAGCTATCTATTTCACGTGAAAGGCCTCAGTACTCTGCTCACTTGAACTACAGAAAACAGGCCACAATACTTGGTTACAATACTGGAACTCTGAACCTATGTGAAGGAGAGAAAAAGAATGGTGAATGAGATACCAGCTGGGTTCTTTCCACATTCAGGGCTCAGCAATGTTGGGGTTTTACTTGTCTCTAATCCTGGAGAGGTATCTAGCCTTGGAAGGAAGCTGAGCCTGTAGCTAACGCATAAGCACACTGTATTCAATAAAACATTTTTATTCTGTACAATATATATGTGTATTTAAATATATATACATATGTATATATATATATATATATATGCGCAGAGAAACCTCAGCCAACAAATCCCTGAGTCCATGGGAACCCAGGACACTAACAAAGGGAAAGGAGAGTCCATGCCTAAAGAGTAGGAAATATGGCAACATCTTTCCCTTTCCTCCTGGTTCCCTGCAACAGAGGGAAGGGAACAGTCACTACAGATTACTAAAACAAGAGGGTTTAGGTGGGGCAGGAAGGTGGGGTGAGAGTGGTAGGATGGGGAACTCAGATGCCACCAGTCTGGGAAAGTAAAACATTTGATCCAGCATGAAAGCCAACATGACCACAGAGGAAAAGGACCAGACTGATGGGCATGCAGCTGGCCTTTGGTATATGCCAAGCCTTTGCTTGGTAGCCCCACACCTGGGCCAGCACAACAAATAGCACCTGTGGGGCCTATGAGCCGGGAGAGGGTGAGGGAGATAGAGATTGGGGAAATGGCCCTTGAGTGAAAGGGAGATAAAGCTGAGGAAGAGGCCTCAGGCCTCAGCACAGGGTGGGAACACTACCATTCACTGTCCCTGTGCCATTTCTTCAGACTCTGAGCCACCACCACCAGATGGCCAAGAGCAGATAACCTTTTGTCCACAGCCAGGTAGAGATGGGCAACTTACATGGCCTTGAGAAGAGGTATAGAAAAAGGAGTGCTTTTGAGGGCCACCCCGTTGTGACAATTCCTGAAGTGCAGAGACCACACCAGCAAAACATGCCCAGTCTTAGTAGTGGGGCCGAGGAATTGATGAGTGGATGTAGTCAGCTCCAGCAGACAGGCCACAGGGTTGCCAGGTTTGATGAGCCAACCAGGTGAGCACACAGCTTCTGAGCACTGCCCTGAATCCTGTCTTCTCCCTCAGGACTGCCCTTTCATGGCCACACCAAGTTTGGCACCTCTCCAGAAAGTTGGCAGGGAGCAAGTGGCAGCACCCCTCTCTCCCTAGCCTATTAACACACAGAGCCGCCAATGGCGGGGCAGCATGGCCGGAAGTCACCTTATATATTGTAGGGACAGCAATAGAACTGTCCCTGCCTGAAGGATTCAAAAGCCCATGTTGGCCTGGGCTTCTCCTGCAGTAATGGCTTGTACATCAGTGACATGGCCGATGCCCTTGGTGACACCCTCCCGGAACAGCAGTTTGGCGCCCACCTTCAGGTACTCTGGGTGCTTCAGGAAGCGGAAACGTACCACTGCCTTCTCGCCTGTCCGCAGTTTGTCCTGCAGCAGATAAGTGGTCACTCCCCTGGCCAGTGCCTTCTGTCCCATTCTATGCCAGCTGTGGCTCTCCACCCTCCAGAGGCCTATCAGGCCGCTACCCACCCTAAGTGGGGTTTTATTCCCATTGTGGGATCAAGGAGTTCTCTGCCAGTCTGGGGCAGGCCTCCCTCTTTTCTGACCTCTGGAGAAATGGAAGGCCAGGTCCCTCTCACCTTGGCATGGATCTTTTCCACCACTGCCGTCTGACGTACGTTGCCCACGTGTACTGTCACCTGGAATCCTCGTCGGAAGGTGGTGGCATGGAACAGTAAGACTATCTCTGCCTCAAACACTGAGCAGATGGTAGGATTCATCTCCGGGCTCACCATCACCATGCCCTGGGGAAGAACAGACCCCAGGCCCAGGAAGGGCAGCTCTAACATCAGACTCTCCCTACCCAGCCATCCCACACCCTTTATAGCTCCTGAATTTCCTCTTCCTCTACACAACTCTGAACACTTTGACTTCAAAAGACAATAATCAAAACTCTCAGAGGGAATGAGTCTTTACCCACCTCCTACGTCCTCTAGCCCATCTAACGCTTTGCATTTTTAGGGTCCTGAACGCTAAAAATAGTGTGCACTAAAAATAGTGTAACATAGTGATTCATATTTAGTAATCTGCACTTCATGAGTATGCTAAGCTGTTTTTATAGTCTCTGTAGCTAGACCAGAAGCTTCTTGGGTCAGAGAGTGTGTTTTCTCTCAGTTTCTCTGAAGCACCTTAGGTAGGTGCTCATTCAGTAGCCAGTCTCCTAGGCACTTCTCTTAGTGTTCCCTCCCCAACCCATGCACCCACCTCACCTTGCGAAGCAGGGCACGGTCAAAGTCCCCAAGCGCCAATGTAGCAGCCTGACCAGCTCGCAGCACACGACAGGCAGAGCGGTTGCGCTGGATGCTGCATACTCTCAGTTCCAGGAAACAGCCATCATCCGTGGGGCCCACCACCAGCTGGTCCCCCTCACGGCAAATCCCACTGCAGCCCAGAGGGCAGGTGGCACAGTGTCAGCCAAGGTCCCCATACCTACTTCTCTATTAGGATCACCCAGAGCATTCCTTCCCTTCTAGGGTTGAGTCCCTCAAGTGGGGAAGAAGAACCCTAAATTCTGACTTGGATGTAGGGGGGAATCACTGCTAGAGTTCAGAATCAGAAAACTAATTTCAAAAAAGGCCAGCAGTGATGGCGGACAGAGAAGCACTTGCTGGTTTAACACTGAACACCTAACCCCTGAAGGAGCAAGTTATCCCCTTGAGTTTCATTCTCTGCTTTGCAGTCTTAGGCCAGGCGCAGTGGCTCACACTTGTAATCCCAGCACTTTGGGAGGCCGAGGCGGGTGGATCACTTGAGGTCAGGAGTTCAAGACCAGCCTGGCCAACGTGACGACCCCATCTCTACTAAAAATACAAAAATTAGCTGGGCATGGTGGCAGGCACCTGTAATCCCAGCTACTCGAGAGGCTGAGGCAGGAGAATTGCTGGAATCCAGGAGGCAGAGGTTGCAGTGAGCTGAGATCATGCCACTGCACTCCACCCTGGGCAACAGAGCGAGACTGTCTCAAAAAAAAAAAAAAAAAAGCAAGCAAGCAAGCAAAGAAGAGTCTTAAGTGACGTCTCTCATTTCCCTATGTGAGATGAAATCAGTTGAATACACTCTAGTTTTTTTCCTGGAGCCCAAAACCCACACTTCTCTCTCAGGGGCCTGGAGATTCCCAATAGGCAGCAATACTGTTTCTTCCCTCCAAAGCCAACAGACTACCATTCTCCAGCTCTTCTGATAGTGAAACCCTAATCTGCAAATAAGCATGTCCTTTAAATGGGTTCTGTTCAATTCCAGGGTCTCCTCTTTTGGGCCAGAATGTCTTTGAATATATGGGTGAGGGCTGAGTGGGGAGGGTAGCAAGCAAGACAATTCACCTGGAAAGTGTCCCTCCAACAACAGTCCCCACCTCTGGTACTGTGTAGATTTCATCTACCTGAAGCCAAAGAAAATGCTATCAATGGCCTGCCAAGTAGGGCTGGTGGGTCCAAAATCTCTAAACAGACTCTGGGTTTAGTCTGAAGCAGCCCCTCCCTGTTTCCCAGCCTATTAGCTGGGCAGTCACCTACCTGGAATTCTGTCAGCTGCTGCATGAGTTCCTCCTGCTCTTTGCTGTTGGTGAGTGGCGGCAGAATATTCAGAAAGACTTTGAGGAGGTCCAGACTCTCTCCAGACACACTGGACAATGTGAAGATGGGGGTGACACTGTAGAGGGAAGCATAGAATGGACAGATGAAGACACTCCAAACAGGAGGCAGAGGCCAGATCCCCATACATGGAAAGGTGAGCTTTGCTCTTGGCTGGGGACCCCTCTCTCCTGTCTGCAAATGGCTCAGAAACTCTGGGCCTTCTTGTGAGCCAATCGAGCAATGTCACACAAGAAGCCCATCCCAGAGCCCAAGGGAAACAGCAAATGCCTGGTATAGCACTTCATCCCCATGGTCCCAGGCATCAGCAATGCTCCAGGTTGACTAGTAGGGAGGGTCAAGCCCTTTAGCAAGATGTCCCTCCACAATCCCAAGCTGAAACACCCACAGAACTAAGCCAGAACTGGTCTGGCCCTGGAAGAGTGGGATATCATGCTCCTGGGCCCCGGGATCTGTGGCAGCCTTCCTAGTGGATCAGGGCTTTACAGTAAGGTGGGCTTACTTGGGTGACTGAGCAAACTGCTGGGCAGCAGTGACGGCATCATCCTCAGAGGTGACTAGCATGGGGACCTTGTGGCACCCAGGCTGCTTGAGGACCCGCTCCAACTGTCGTACTGTCCTCTCCACTGTGGTCTTGGCACACAGGTCGATCTTGCTGACCACGATGAAGAAGGGCACTTTCAGGGCCAGGGCCAGCCCCAGATGTTCCCTTGTGGTGCCAGCTGCCTCAGAAGGACAGCAAGCAGCGGAAGAGAAGAGTGAGAATGCAGAAGGGAGGAGAGGGAAGAAGAGAAGCATTGGTCTGTCTCCAAGATTTGAGGCCCAGGGTAGGAGAGTCAGCACCCCCCTTCAGCCCTGTCCCTGCCCTAATGCCTCGTACCAATCCCAGTGTTGGCACTGACGAGGAGCAGGGCGCAGTCGGGGCAGTATGACGTGAGGCCAAAGATGGTGGTGTGTAGGTACTTATGGTGGCCTGCCAGGTCGATGAAGGTGATCATCTTGGAGCTGCTCTCACAGATCTCTTCTGCCGTCCGTGAGTCGCTGTAATTCACCACCTGGCCCAGGGCCCAGGGCTCTCAGTGCCCCCTGCCAGCCCTTCCAACCCCTTCAGAGTTGCCAGGACCTAAACCATTCCCTGGGTGACCCTGCCTCTTAATCCTGACCCCATTTTTTATTTAATTCAGTTGATTCCCCATTGATTTCCTAAGAGGGACAGAGCTTGTTCACAGTCCCCTCAGGGCATTCATCTATACTATTTCAAAAAGTCTCCACACTCTGCCCCCATCGTATGTCCTTCACTACTACCATCCCATCCTCAGAGTCTGGCCCCATTGGGTCCCACTGATCCCATGCACCTCTCCCTTGCTGTTAAAGCCCAGGATCTCGAAGCTGATGCTGGAGGTTCGGCCAGACTGAATCTCATGCAGGTGGCGGAAAAGGTTGAGCCGAGCCCGGCCCCGCCCATTGTCCAGCTCTCCCTGGGTCAGGACTCCAAGCAGAGTCGACTTCCCTGAGTCCACATTCCCCAGGACGGCCACACGGAGGTCTAGGAACTGTGGATGAATTGCCAGAGATAAGGACTCCAATCCCTCACCCCTCTCACTGAAGACTGGGTCAAGGGCAGTGACGTTCCCTAGGGAGCAAGTGATGAACTGGAAGCCCCCAGGATCCCAGGCCAGGAGTCAGCCTGCCACCATAGGGCCCTTCCACAGTGTGGACATGAGGGACAGGGATGGGTGTGTGCTCACCTGTTGGTTGTCAGGGACCTTTCGTACTAGCACCTCGGTGATCTTCCGGGGCATGTCGCTATCATAATCCACTTCTCGCTCTCGAAGAACGGTGATGTCTGCCCCAACCCTGTCACAGCAAGGCCACAGATGCCATATCTCACCTGTCCTTCTCCTATTCCAGGCTTGCTCTGGACCTACAGACTTCCTGCACCTCCCACAGAGCTCCCAATACCTTAGCGCACTTCCTACCACCCTCCAATTTATTCTTCATTCACAATTCCCTTTAAAACAAATACATATATCTTAATTCAAGGATCTAAACAGCCTAGGTCCAGTGAGGAGGGGACCAAAACACTAACCTTCCCCACTTCAGCCCTTTGTCAAGAGAAGGAAAGTCCCACCTTTGCCCCTCAGGCCCTAGGTAACTGGGTATGTATGGGTCTTCCCAAGTCAAATAAAGGAGAACTGGTGGGGAAGGGAAAGCATACTTCTCTGCCATCCGGTGCAGGGTCTTGAGTGAAGCTCGCATTTCCTCCTCAGCCAGCCCCACCAGCAGCCCATTGTCCTCTACCCCAATCTGGTAGACAGCCTCACCACGTCCCTCCTGGAGTCGCCACTTCATCTGTGTAACCAGGTGCTCAAAGCGGTACTGGGATGGATTCACCAGCTTCAACTTAGGGCAAGTGGGGTATCATGAGGTGAAATCAGAGGTGTTCCTCCCAAACCTACATGGTCCCCACCTGTTCTGCTGTAAGGACCAAGACTTTCCCTTTCCACTTAAACTCATACCTGATCCCCCTCCAACAGAACAAGGTACAGAGCCCTTAACGTGAATCATATCCTTAAACTGCTATAGACTATGAAGTTGGAAGGCTCTCAGAGAAATTATCCCATGCTGGTGGATCACCTGAGGTCAAGAGTTCGAGACCAGCCTGACCAACATGGAGAAACCTCATCTCTACTAAAAATACAAAATTAGCCGGGCGTGGTGGCGCATGCCTGTAATCCCAGCTACTCAGGAGACTGAGGCAGGAGTATCTGAGATTGCACCACTGCACTCCAGCCTGGGCAACAAGAGCAAAACTCCATCTCAAAAAATAGAAAGAAAGAAAAAAGAAATTATCTCACGCTGGCAAGGACAACCTACCCCAGCCCCTGCTTTTCCCCAGGCTAGGACTCACTTTATATTCAATGTTTCCATCTTCAGCCTGAAAAGAAACAGTGAGCAGTTACCATACACTGTCCAGACCCAATCCCTACTTCCCCTCAACTCCCACTGGGTCCAGGTAGCTAATTTGAGAAAGCAGGAAGCCCCACTGGCACTTGCTCAGGCAAGTGCCTGTTAAAGGTCAGTGGCAGGCAAGATGCTCTATTCAACGCCAGCATGGCCTCTATGAAGGGAAAGCCTGTAAGGACACAAGGAGTCACCCATTTAAGCCAGGCACAGAACCCTGAATCAATCCATTCTTTGATCACTGGCAGCACGTTCTTCCTAGATGCAAGATCATCCCTTCCTCCCCACCTCCAGGGCCTCAAACCCGCTTTTCCCAGAAGTCTATGTCTCTTCTGTGCCCAGGCTATTAAAACCTTTCTTTGTCACTGGTCTAGGAAACACCACTTCCTCCCTGCCTGCCCCTCTCAGCTGATGTCATCTAGAGTAAGAGGCTGCAAGAGGTTCTGGATCAGAGCCAAAGGGTGAGCTCCGCAATGGTCACTACAAGCCTGATGACCAAGATCTAGGTGAGAGAGGAGCAGAGCTCCAAAGTTGGGGCTGAGAGGAACAGAAAAACTCAGAAAATGTAATGAAGTGGACAGACTTGCTATGGCCTTCACCTCCTGCCGCCTAATCTCAGTGGAGGTGAAATCCTGAATCCACCCCACAGTATCTTCTAGTTCCAGTGGGTAGCACAGCACAGAAGCACCCTGTTATCTGAGCCTTCCTCTCCCAGGTGCAAAGGGATATGGGATTTGCCTGTTTGGCCAGTCTGCATTTTTCTATCCCTCTCTCTGGATATTTTATTTTTCCTTTTCCTTTCCGGTCATCATTCCATCCCTTCAAGGCTCTCTGGCTCCCAGGCCCTAACAAGTCTTCACTCATAATCTCCACCTCAAGGTGTGTTAAGGAGATTATTTTTTTCCCCATCAATAAAAACCTTCCAAAAACCTTTTAATCATTTTTCTGGGGATGGGTGGCTTCAAAAAATGTGGTGCAAGAATGAGAGTCTAGGGCCCAGATCAATGGTTCCCAAAGTGAGGTCCTGGGACCAGCAGCATTAGCATCACAGGGGAACTTGTAAGAAATGCAAATTCTCAGGCCCCTCCTCACTAGTAAGAAAGAATCATAAATTCTAGGCTGGGCACGGTGGCTCACGCCTGCAATCCCAGCACTTTGGGGGGCCGAGGCAGGTGGATCACCTGAGGTCAGGAGTTTGAGACCAGCCTGGCCAACATGGTGAAACCCCGTCTCTACTAAAAATACAAAAATTATCTGGGCGTGGCGGGCACCTGTAATCCCGGCTACTCGGGAGGCTGAGGCAGGAGAATCGCTTGAGAACCCAGGAGGCCGAGGTTGCAGTGAGCTGAGACAGCGCTACAGCACTCCAGCCTGGGCAACAGAGTGAGACTCCGTCTAAAAAAAAAAAAAAAATTGGCCGGGTGTTGGGGGCCAGCAATCCGGGAGATTCGATACATGCCAAGTTTGATAATCACTGGCTTAGGCTGTGTGTAAGGAACACACTGCTCTTTTCCCGGGTACTCCCCTTCTCCATGTGGAACAAGTTTAGAAGAAGTGGTGGTTACTCTGTCTGCCTCTTGTCCCAGGATGCAGTCTCTCTTCCCCTATGGCGGCACACGCAGTTTGTTGGGGTGCTCTTCCTGGGATCCCCTTTCTCTACTTCTCTCCTGCGGTAATCTAGATCAGAAGGGGGAGTCCTCCCTCTCCACTCTTCCTCCCTCTCCACTCTTCCTCCCTGAGATCCTGTCACCTGAGTCCAGTCTCTGCCCTTCCTCTCTGGGGTCCCGGGACCGGAAAGAGGGGTTCTCCTCCCATGCCCCTCCTCCCTGGGGTCTCGACAACGGAAGGGGGGATTAATTCTCTGGGTCCCGCCTCCCTGGAGTCCTGGGCCGGAAAGAGTGGCTTCTTCCCGCCCCACCACTTCTCAAGTGCTCACCTCGGGGGGCAGGTACGGGGGATTGTTGGCTTTGCCCCCTCTGTTCCTTCCGTTCTTCTTCTTTCCCTTTGGGCCCCCGCAGCCGCTGGTGCTGCCGGCCCCCCTAGCCTTGAGGGTTCCGCCCACGGCCGGGCCCCCTCCGGGCCGGCAGCAGCCGCCGAACAGCTCCGATACCCGCGAGTCCATCCGCCGCTGCCGCCAGCCCCCCGCCCGGCCCCTCCCGCGGCCGCAGCCGCCGCCGTCGCCGTCGCCGCCGCCCTTACTGCCACTGCCGTGTCCGGCCGGCCCGAGCAGAGTGGGGTGGGGCTCTGCAAAAGCTACGCCCCCCACCTCCTTGGCCTCCGGGTCGCGTCAGAAACAGCCGCGGGGCACCACGGGATATAGAGTCCCCAGGCCTGGAAATTCGCTCAAAATGACACGCCGCCGCCCTACAACTCCCAGGAGGCATCGCGGCGCAAGTGGCCGCGGGAGTCGTCGGAGGCGTGGGGAAGGAGCGCGCCTTGGCGCGCAAAGGCCTAAGGGAGCTGTAGTCTGGATTGCAGTCCCCGCGCTGTGGTCTTTTTCTAGGGCTTGGGGGCAGTTTAGAACCTCGCAGCCTGGGTGGCGAGGACACCAGCGTCGAAGAGCTTACATCAGAATCGACCCTTGTGGGCGCTCCGGGATTTGGCCCTTTAGCGCGGATCCTAGACAACAGGTTTTGGACCTCGAGAGCCGCAGAACTGAGGCTACTGGTCCCGCCAGCCTGCTGGCTCCGCCTCTGCCTCAGTTTCTTCCCCAATGGCCCGCGTGCCGCTGGGGTGAATCAGGGCTAACGCTAGGGCGGAGGCGGATGGTGATTAGCCAAATTACGGCTGTTATTGTTGCGATGACTATGCTACCTTTACATAGTAGTCACTGCTTTATTACCAGGCTGGCACCGTCCAGGGGCTGGTTTTAACAGCCGGAGGCACCGCGGTGGCTGCGACACGAGACCCGAACCCGTAAACCAGCTTGCTGCCCGAAGGCTGCAAGCATACTCAAAGCGAGTATTCCTCCTCCCCTTTGTTTTGAAGCAGAACCAATCGGGAAGAACCTAGTTTGGTTTTAAACAGCCAAGACTGTAGGAGGGGCCTGGCCCCTACTTCGGGCGGGGCTGGGGCTCGGGTTACACCAACCACCACGAGGGCGGGGCAGTGGCCGGGAATAGAAACTTGGCCTAGGGCCACAGGGGATTGTTGGCTTTTGACTTTCTTGCGAAGCAATCTCCTGCTGTTTAGTGCTGTTGCACTCTACAGAGTACACACATTCAGCGACATAAGCCAGTGCACAGAACACCAGAAAGGCAGGGCGGAAAAGCAGTAACGTTGCTGAGCTGCGAGTCAGGACGCTAGGGCTCAATTCACAGCCGCATGGCTGTCTCATGACTCACACCACTCACAGTGTGTTCTCTTCTCCCCTCTTCTGGAACTGCGAGGTGCTCATACACGGTCAAGAAATTAAACAACTCAGCCAGGTGCGGTGGCTCACGCCTGTAAATCCCAGCACTTTGGGAGGCCGAGGTGGGCGGATCACCTGAAGTCAAGTGTTCGAGACCAGCCTGTCCAACATGGTGAAACCCCGTCTCTACTAAAAATACAAAAATTAGCAGGGTGTGGTGGCGCATGCCTGTAATCCCAGCTGCTCCGGAGGCTGAGACAGGAGAATCACTTGAACCCGGGAGGCGGAGGTTGCAGTGAGCCGAGATCAGGCCATTGCACTCCAGCCTGGGCAACAGAGCAAGACTCCAACTAAAAAAAAAAAAATATGAGCCTGGCATGGTGGTGCACATCTGTGGTCCCAGCTGCTCGGGAGACTAAGGCAGGAGAATCACTTGAACCCGGGAGGTAGAGGTTATAGTGAACCAAGATCATGCCACTGCACTCCAACCTGGGTGACAGAACGAGACTTTGTCTCAAAAAAAAAAAAGAAAAGAAAAAGAAAGAAATTAAGCAACTCTTTTCTCTAGACTTCAGTTGTCCTTGGAAAACTAGAAGCAGCAACAATGACTTACCTCTGGTGATCCCTTCGGGGGTTCAGACTTGGTAGAGTCCATGGCTTCCTCCCAGGGCCACAAGGAGGGAGGCAGGTCTACTGATCATGCTGTTCACATAGCATAATTTTCCAAAGCAGTGACAGCAGAAAGACCAAAACCTGCAAAAGGGCCTAGCTCACCCTAGGCCAATTATGTGGGTCTTCAGTGGTTGAAAGCACATGTGATTTTTCTTAGTCCTGTGCCACTGAAGGAAAGGTTATGCTGTAAAAGTCTAGCCAGGGGTACAGGCCTACTAGAGAAACTGTGGTTTAGAGACAGAGACTAGAGAACTCAGTGAGAGATCTCAAGAAAGATGGGAATTGGAAGGAAGAGATAAGACCATTCTCCCAACATTCTCACCATGACCAGCCCTGGGCTCTCTCGATAACCAGAGCCTGCTGCAGTTGTCTGATAACATGTGTCCCTTCATATACATGGATTTTAAAATTTTTATTTATTTTTTTTTGAGACAAGGTCTCCCTCTGTCACTCAGGCTGGAGTGCAGTGGTGTGATCACAGCTCATTGCAGCCTCAACCTCCTCTGCTCAAGCAGATCCTCCCACCTCAACCTCTGGAGTAGCTGGAACTACAGGTGTGAGCCACCACGCCCAGCTAATTTTTGTTTTTATTGTTTGTAGCGATGGGGTTCCCCCATGTTTCCTAGGCTGGTCTTGAACTCCTAGGCTCAAGCAATCCTCTTGTCTTGGCCTCGCAAAGTGCTGGGATTACAGGCATGAGCCCCACACCTGACCCAGTATTTTATTTTATTTATTTATTTAGAGACAGAGTTTCGCTCTTGTTGCCCAGGCTGGAGTGCAGGTGCAATCTTGGCTCTGCAAGATCTGCCTCCCGGGTTCAAGCGATTCTCCTGTCTCAGCCTCCCGAGTAGCTGGGATTACAGGTATGTGCCACCACACCCGGCTAATTTTGTATTTTTAGTAGAGACGGGGGTTTCTCCGTGTTGGTCAGGCTGGACTCGAACTCCTGACCTCAGTTGATCCACCTGCCTCAGCCTCCCAAAGTGCTGGGATTACAGGTGTAAGCCACCGTGCGCCCAGCCCTATTTATTTTTTAAAGGTGGCGAGGAGGCGGAAGAGAGAATGATTGATTGATTGATTTCTTTTTTTCTTTTTGAAGTAGGATCTCCTTCTGTCACCCAGGCTGGAGTGCGATGGCACAATCTTGACTCACTGCAACCTCCATCGCCTGAGAGCAGTTCTTCCACTTCAGCCCCCCAGGTAGCTGGGAATGCAGGGGCGTGCCACAATGCCTGGCTAAGTTTTGTATTTTTTGTGAAGAAGGGGTTTGCCATGTTGCTCAGGCCGGTCTTGAACTCCTGGACTCAAGCAGTTCTCCCATGTTGGCCTCCCAAAATGCTGGGATTACAGGCGTGAGCCACCATGCCCAGCCAGACCCAGTATTTTAATCACTGTACTTTTATAGTATGTTTTGACCTCTGGTCCCTACTTCCTGAAACATACCCTTTTCTTGGCCTCCATGACCTGACACTTGTCTTTTTTTTTTTTTTTTTTTTTTTTTTATAAAGACCCCATCTCTACTAAAAATACAAAATATTAGCCGGGTGTGGTGGTGGGCACCTGTAATCCCAGCTGCTTGGGAGGCTGAGGCAGGAGAATTGCTTGAACCCCGGGGGCAGAGGTTGCAGTGAGCTAAGATCATGCCATTGCACTCCAGCCTGGGCAACAAGAGCGAAACTCCATCTAAAAACAAACACAACAACAAAAAAACTTTTGGACTCAATCAGTCCCTCCACTCTCAAGCAATTCTCCCATCTCAGCCTCCCAGAATGCTGAGATTATAGTCGTGGAGCTACCATGCCCAGCCAGACCCAGTATTTTAATTGTTGTGTTTTTTTTTTTTTTTGAGGCGGAGTCTCACTCTGTCACCCAGGCTGAAGCACAATGGTGTGACCTCAGCTCACTGCAACTTCCACCTCCCAGGTTCAAGGCATTCTCCTGCCTCAGCCTCCCAAGTAGCTGAGATTATGGGGATGCACCACCACGCCTGGCTAATTTTGTATTTTTAGTAGAGACAGGGTTTCTCCATGTTGGTGAGGCTGGTCTTAAACTCCCAACCTCAGGTGATCCGCCTGCCTCAGCCTCCCAAAGTGCTGGGATTACAGACATGAGCCACTGCGCCCGGCCTCTAATCATTGTACTTTTACAGTATGTTTTGACTTCTGGTCCCTACTTCCTGAAACACACCCTTTTCTTGGCCTTCATGACCTGACACTTGTCTTTTTCTGTAGGGACAAGGTCTCATGTTGCCCAGACCGGTCTCAAACTTCTGGATTCAAGCATTCCCCTTGCCTTGATTTCCCAAAGTGCTTACAGGCATGAGCCACCATGCCTGGCCCCACTTGTCTATTTTGGTTTTGGAGGCGGGGTCTCACTCTGTCACACAGGCTGGAGGGCAGTGGTTCGATCACAGTTCACTGTAGCCTCAACCTCCCAGGCTCAAGCAATCCTTCCACCTCAGCCTCCCAAAGTGCTGGGAGTACGGGCATGAGCCACCTTGCCCGGCGATTTGTCTATTTTTCTTTATCCTTCTGTGGGTACTCCTTAGTCTTCTCCATAGGTTCTGTCTCTGTGGTCATCCCCTAAATGTTAGTGTCTTCAATAACCTAGCCCATTCTCATTCCACACCCTCCCTGGGTGATGTTATCCACTCACATGATAATGGCTCTTAAATACATGTCGCTATTCCAAATGGCATTCCTAAATATTTCTATTCATTGTCCTATGGAGATGTCAAATTCAATCTGTGAAAAGCTGAACTCATCTTTTCTCCTACTCACCTCCCACCCCAATAAACCTGGTCCTCTTTTAGTGTTTCCTCCATTTTTTTTTTTTTTTTTTGAGTCATGGTCTCACTCTGCTGCCCAGGCTGAAGTGCAGTGGCTTAATCATAGCTCACTGTAACTGTCGAACTCCTGGACTCAAGCAATCCTCTGCCTCAGCCTCCTGAATAGCCAGGACTACAGATGTGCACCCACCACACCTGGCTAACTTTTAAAAACTTTTTTTTTTTAATTTTGCAGAAACAGGGTCCCCAATATTGTCCTGGCTGGTATCAAACTCCTGGCACAACTGGCCATACAATTGCTGAAGTCAGAAACCTGCTTGTTTTCTTGTCAGTCTTCTTTTCTTTTCTTTCTTTTGACATGGAGTCTTGCTTTGTCACCCAGGCTGGAGTGCAGTGGCGTGATCTCAGCTCACTGCAACCTCTGCCT